CCGCATGTGCAGTAGAGGACGCAATGACGTCACAAACCAGCATGCTTTGTGTTTACAGAAGTAAACATGGATGGTAGTGCTGGAGCGCATCTAGCGATCTTTCCAAACCTTAAAAACTAAATCTTTTCAAGATGGCCTAGGTCTGATTGGAAAAAATCGGATGTGTTGTTCAGACTGCCATGTAAAGATCAGATCCAGGTTGCATGTGGTGAAAAAAAATCGGATTTGGGTCACTTTAGGCTGCGGGGTGAACTTAGCTAATGCTGCTCCACACGCACCTGGCCAAACAGGCAGATACCCTCCATATATGACAATGGAGGCAAGGAGGGTTTTTTTTAAATCTTGCCGTATACAGACAAAACAATGCCCTCTGTTTTGAATTTAAACAAACAGAAGAGACACAACAAAACTTTTATATTTCAAACCAAAATCTCTGCTGTGAGCACACGGTCTCAATCTGCATTGGGGTCGACTTTATTGGCCAAGTTTGTGTTCAAGAAATTTTCCTTCACTCAAATCACAATCCCTATTCCATCAACATGTCACCTTGAATAACTAAAGGCAGACTAACTCATTGATGCCCCCTTCGGATTACTTCAGAGTTAAAATCAAAGAGGAGTCTGAACAACCAAAAACAACCCAGCCTCTGTTGCGACGGGTCGTCTCTGTTTTTTATATTTCTCACATCAAATCATTATAACACTGAGACGTGCTCTGCTGTCTTTGCCGAGGGCTCTTTATGGCTTTCTTGAAATCCTTCAAGATTTAAGACTTTTGTTAAAAGCTGTAAACATAATCTAACCCATGATTTGTTTCTCAGACTCTACATCCTGCTGTTATCTATCCACCAACAATACGGGCCCCAAGCAGCAAGATAACATGGGTCAAAGCGCTGACTGTTGAGGCGAACCCATCTTCTTTACAGTCACCACCACTGGGACCGCAGAAGCCTTTCATGTTCGTCTCTGACCTGAAAGGTAAATCCACTCCAGATGCAAATCACATGTAGGCTACAGCAAGTCCTGCTGTGCACGAGTGCCAAGCTTCAGAAGAAGAGAATTATATTAGCTTGGGGCCGAAAGCCTGTTTAATCCTGAATACTGAGCAGCTGGTAGCAACTGCAATAGCTGATAACAGAAATCAGATTATTTTAAGCAATACTAGTTTGAAGAGGTTTCTGTCTCTAATTTACCTCTCATACTTTACCTTGCAGCTGGGCTGAGTTCAGCCAGAGCAGTTTTAAGAGGCTAAACAACTTATAACTTAAAGGAAAGGAAACCCAAGCTAGAGTATGAGATGTTCGGTGGACACTTTTTAAATGGTAGGTGTAGAATAGGATAGATATCATCTTTTATGTTCCACACATTCTGCTTCCCTGTGGCCTCAGGCAAAGATTAGGTGCAGCACACAGAGGTCTGATAAACTTCTTTCTATCTGTGCAACGCTCAGCTCACTGACGTTTTTCACTTCTATTTTCCACCTCCTGTTGAAGAGCTGATCTATAAAACTTTGATCAGTAAAATAGGTGAATATTCTCTATGCAGCAATTATTACATGTATTTATAACTAGGGCACTTACCTGTTGTTGTTGAATATGTAGAACAAAAGTAATATTATTGTATCCTGAAATGTGTAAAAGTGTATACTACTGTATGTAAAATAAAGATCTAAATCTGCAGTCAAACTCCAGTCCTCTAGAGTCAGTGTTGTGGATCTACTCACTGCAACATTCATCAATCATGTATGGAGTAAATTATGTTCCATTATTGTTGCAAATAAAGAATACGTTACATAATAGAAAAACATTAAAAACAATACACACTTTGTAAAATAAATGTGAAAAAAAAAATCAATAAATGAATCTTTGATAAATGTTTTAATAAAAAATGGCTTTAAGAGTTTTGTTCTTTCCTAAGATTTTGTTTTTTCAAATGAAATTTCTTAAAAGATTTTTTTTACATTTTTAAGTTTTTTAAACAATTAGTTATTTTTACAGATATATTTTTTTTCAAAATTATGTTTTTACAAATTGCATACTTTTCAAATTACCTTTCACAGATCACAGTCTTCATTTCAAGCCAAATACAAAGGGTAACGCTTGACGCACACACTGACCAATAAAAATATTGCAATAACATCCAACAGACCAAGAGAAATCGTCTTCACTCCTCAACCCAAAGGAAAGAATGTAATATTTAAAACTCAATTTAAAAAATCTGATGAACAACTGTAGAAAAAATAAACTAAAATATACAAAAAGACAAAAAAATTACATTTTAAAAACTTTGAAAAAAATATTTTAAAACTACAAAAGAGATGAAAATTTTTTCTCAAAAAGAATATGAAAGATTTATCAGAAAACTAAATCTGAAAAAACTGCAAAGCTCCTTTCAAATGTAAATGTAAGAAAACAGCATCAATGAATTCAAAAATTGCCCAAAAACAACGGCAGCATAAAACGGGGAGTATTTAGTCTGATGTTAAAGCAATTGATATCGACATTACCCTTAAAGTAAAAGGTCTTAGTTTCTAGTCAGTTTCCATCACCTAGACCAGGCAGGTCTTCTGCAGAGATGGGAAGTAACGAAGTACAAATACTTCGTTACTGTACTCAAGTAGATTTTTCTGATATTTTTACTTTACTTTACTACTTATTTTTATGGCGACTTTTTACTTCTACTCCTTACATTTTTACACAAATATCTGTACTTTCTACTAAAAAATTGGCTCGTTACTTTAGTTTTGAATCATTTCAATGGAGTTACCGTTATTATTTTTCACGTCATCAATACCAAATTCAATCTAATTGGATGGGAATCTACGTTGCATTTGACGCACCACTACAAGATGAATCGACAGATTCGGCGGTATTCATTCGCAGCAAATCATTGCAGCTTGGTGGCGGTGGCGTTAGCATAGTAGCATGGACGACGAGATGATTGAAAATGAACACAACGGAGATCTAGTCCTATTGGCAGACATCCATTTAAAATGTAGGCAACGGCATGAAAAAAAGTGGTTTCTACTTTTTCTTTTATACTTTAAGTAAATTTACAAGCCTGTACTTTGTTACTTTTACTTGAGTAAAGAAGTTTAATCAGTACTTCCACTTTTACCAGAGTATTTTTTAACACAAGTATCTGTACTTTTACTCAAGTACGGAAAGTGAGTACTTTTGCCATCTCTGGTCTTCTGGCCAAAGTCAACCCTGCATACCTGGAACCAAAACATGGAAACATAACATGAAGAAGCAGAAATTAGTTTTGTAACAGCACTGGTAACTTAAAATTCCTTTAAAACAAGGTTAAAACCTATTTGTTTAGATCTGTCTTTGATTTTTCTAGTTAAACTTTTTAACCTACCTATGTGTATTTGAAATTAGTTGCTGTAAAATTGTTAAACGACAAAACAAGGAAACAAATCTTCTGGAGAGAAAGCTGGTTTAGGGTTTTCCAAATCTGTCAAAACAAAATACTACTGAGTGAATCTTAAATGTAAAAAATATTTATAGCCTAACATCACTTTCATTGTCTGTGTCTGTGCGATTTTTTTCAATCATTGCACGCAGCTGCTGCTCACACTGTACGACTAACCGCAGAGTTTAGTCGTACAGTGTGAGCTCACAGCTCACAATGTCTGTTCAGCCTGACGCTCTGATGCCATCTACCTGCTCATACTGTACTTTCAGAGCTACATTATTGTAAAAATCACAATATAACATCTTTGTTAAAATATCGGAATAAATCGTACCACAACGCGAGTTGTGATATAGGCTACGTATCATATCACAGAATTCCTGCCAATTCCCACCCCTACTTAATACTGACAGTGGAAAATATAAATCTGCTGTTAAATGGTGAAAATAAGAAGATCACAAACAGTTAAATATATCAGTTCGGTGTAAAGTGCTCACAGAGGGCTAAGAGGAAGGAGTATTTTCTAGTATGTTAGTAGTATTTGAATTAGGACAATGCAAAATTATGAGCATTTCAGTTTAAAGCATCAAAGTAATTATGCCAGAATTAGCACAACAGCTAATTTGCACTGACTCTTCTAACACATGTAAGAATAGTGAACATTAAGGGAGACACTACGGGAGAAAACAGATGGATACAAACAGATAAGATGCCAATAACATAAAATCACAATAAGATTAGGTGAACAGACCCAATGAAACAGATCGATTGACCTGTGAACACATGTCTAGTTGGTTTTCAACCGATGTTTCAATTATATTTTAAAACTTATATAGGTTGCACAGCCGCTAACATGAGCTGGCAGTGTGTTCTGCAACTGTGCTCCTCTAATGGATACAACAATTTGGCCAAATTTGGTCCTGCACTGCTGAACATTACAGTCTCTGGTAACAGCCCTGCTGTTTATTCTAGTAATGGTTCCTTTGCTTATAAAATCTATTAGAAGAGGAGGAGCAAGTCCATTTAAAACGTTAAAAACAAGACCTGCATCCAGAAATATCTCATGATGTTCAAATGTTGTACTTACTTACAGAGGTGTCAAGAAACGACGTACAAATACTTTGTTACTGAAGTACACTTTTTAAGTATCTAAACTTTACTCCATTACTTTTTTTCTTCTTACTTCTGACCTCGAAAACGTTGAAGACCCCTGCTTTAAGTAGTTTTTGGAGACTTTCTCACTTTTACTTGACTAAAGAGGTCAAGTTGATACTTCAACTTTTTAAACAGCAGTATCTATACGTCTACTTAAGTAACAAATGTGTGTACTTTTGACACCACAGCTTACTTAATATGTTACAATAATGATAACATAGAGGCTTTTGTCAAGAACTTTCAGAGTTTTCTTGAGTAAGGATGGTTTAGAGCAGGGGTCTTCAACGTCTGAATGTGTGCATTGATGGTGAAAAACATCTTCTGCCTCTATTTATCTGTTTACTACAGTGTGTTGAATCCATGAAAATTACAGGGGGGAATATAAAAAAAGTCTAATCCACCAAAACTTTTAGGACCCCCATGCAGTACCTCTGTGGACCCCGTAGGGGTCGCAGACCTCTTGTTGAAGACCTCCAGTTTAGAGCAAAATATTTCTCTGTCTACCGAGGAGACATCTGTTGGTTTTAACAGGAAAATTACCCAATTAGAGGAAGTCAACCAACACTAAAAAGTATTAGTTAACTGTATAATAACAACTGGCTATCAGCAAAAAGTGCTAGGATAATGGCACAGAACAAGGTTTCTAGGAGTTGATTCTTCCGCAACGGGAAAGGTTTGATTTAATGTTAAGAAAATATGGGCCTAAAAGCATCAAGCAATGGGTATAATTCACAAACATCAATAGTTTGACATCAAACCATTACTTACCTGCCACTATTATATAACTGCAATGTACTTTCTCTGTATTTTCTGTGCTTATACTTTGCTCGTGTTCAGCACCTTCTTTGATGTTTTCCAACCTGCAGAAATGGAGCTGCAAGCAGCTCCTTAGACTTTCCACAGGGGCTCTAAACTGTTCATGTTTTAACAAATACTGAAGGCTTTAAGCGTTCTTTTCCATTTATAAATGAATAACGGCTCCAGATGTTTGCATGATAATGACTCTAAAAAGGCATCAGTAATGTTTTTTTTGTGTGTGTGTGTGTGAAAGTGCACCAGTTGTAGTTTTCTATCCGATCAACAATCTTTACAAAGCCTGACATGCCAATTCCAATTTTGTTCGACTTTTTTTTCTATAACAATTGTTATACAATGTGATAGGACATTTTAACCAATCTGACTATACTGTCTTTGTGAAGTCCCTTTAAGTGACATATGTTTTGCATTGGTGTTACATACCTAACCTGAAATGAAATTGAATTGTACTTTACACCTCAGACATTTAAATAGGAGGAGCTTCAGTTGCATGAAGCTGACATCCAACCCACATAAAAAAAAACTCTGTAAATAGACTGTATGGTTAGTGCTTCAGCACCAAGGAAGTAAAAATCTCTTATAATTTTACACTTTGGAGGGAAAAAAGTGACATAAAAATACAAGACAGGGAGTAAAGAGTCCAAGTAAAACAGTTTTGAGCACCAAGATAAAATAAAATTGAATCATTTTGTTCATTATTTTAAAAAATTCTTTGGATTTCTTTTTATTTTCTTTTTCAGATTTAGCTTTATGTATTACATTCTTTTCAAAATTTACAGATCACATGTGCATCTCTTTAAGCCCAGATCAAATGTTCCGTCTCACATATTTTTTCAAGTTTCAATTTACAAAACTTGTTCTTCTAATGGAACTAAATTCACTCCATACAATATATGTCAATTTACATCTGCACAATAAGTGGGAGCTGCCCTAGTTTCAGAAACGGAAAGACACAAGAGGACCGGCGTTTTTGAATAGATGTACTAACTGTTGGCAATACTATTTATTCAGCAGGAAGCACCTGGAGCCGGATGTCCACAGCTTGCACAAAGGCTACTGTTTGAAATTCAGCCTCTGTGTGAACACCAAAATAGTCACGCCTGTGGCTCATTTACTAACCCCGTCTAAGCTTCCTGTAATACAAATATTTAGGGCTATTATGGTCATAGCTAATCCATATGCAGCGAAGAATGATAATGACAAGAGCGTGCTCAAAAAGATGCAATTAATTTCCTAGAAAATGGCTCCTCTGCGCCTGTAATGAGATGCCAAATTAATAAGCTTGTGTGCTGAACAACAAAGCCATTTGGTAAACAGTGCTGTTCATTTGCCTGTTGACATCCAGACCGTGCATGAACCCAGAAGAACACTTGTGTTTGTGGGTGTGGCAGAAGAGCGGGCAGCAGGACAGGTTATGATGGATTGTTTGGAAAATAACACATCGGTGCTTTGCAGTTCATTTTTCTGCAACAATATTAATGACATGATCCCTTCAAATGCTGTTTTAGTGTGCTTGAAGGAAGGTGATACTCCTCAGTCTCTGGATCCAAGCCAGAAGTTTTCATGTACAGTTCTAATGACTGTGCACATCCAGAAGTAATTACCCTGATGTATGCAGATAGCTGATGTAATTTTTTAAATTTTATGATTGTAACAAGACCCTCAAAATACAGATTTTTTCTCTCTTTTATTTATCTTAAACAGTAGAAGATAGTCTGTCCTGTGTTTGTTATTTATTCTGCATGCAGCATTAGCTTGTCAACAGTTTGTAAAAAAGAAAAAAGTGCAGATGGACTGATTTGTACTCCACGAAACATGGATTTGGGCCGGATAATAAGGATTTGGGCCAGAAATACGTTTTGCTCTCCCTGATGGAAGTTTTAGCAGTAGAAAAAAAGAAATGATGAAACACAACTTGGCATTTTATCGATCTGTGGATATATGAAGGCAGCATGGGTGAGTTTTCTCTACAGAGTGACATCTATGATAAAAGTTGTAGCTTTTTTGTTGTTGTTTTTTTATCCCCATGTTGTAAAATGTGAGCTCTAAAGCAATGTGTATTAAGTCAATTACTGCTTTTTTTAAAGATCTCTAAATTTGATGATGAACATGAAGATAATAAAAAAAAAAACATAATAAAAAATTATTTAGGTTCTGCTCTTGTGACCCTAAATCCCTGTGAAAACTTCGGGGGACATGATACACAGAACTCCTTAGCTATATACTAAGTACATTTACTTTCCTATAGTACTTAAAGGTATAATGGAGGATGTTCTTTTTCCAGGTGGATCAGGCCCTCTGACCATCATCAGTACGCATCGCGGGTGTCCTGCCCAAGGACACAACACTAGAACCAACAACCCTCTGATTGCAGGGCCCACTCCTGCATCTGACACCACTGTCGCCCCACTCAGTAAATTCACTCATAGATGCAGTTAGCCGTCGCTGATAAAATATTTACATTTATTTACAGTGGGTCTGATGTAAAGCGCTGATTGTCTCTTAAGAGAACTTCTCATCAAAATATATCTAAACATTATTTGCCAGATTTCATGTCTTTCTAAAAATAACTTAGATATGTAGATTTTTATTTAGAAGATGTATCCCCCCCAAAAAACTTTATTCATATTACGTATATTTTTTTTGTTTTGTTTGTTTTTTGTTTATATCTTTTCTTATTATGTTCCATAGGCCTTCAGGCTGATGTTTTTACTTGTAACATGTCATTTGAGACATACTTACAAGCTCGTCGAAAAGAAATCGGCGCAACAATCTATTCTGAGATGTCTTGAGCATAAGAAAAGATAAGTGGACCACTTAAAGAAAGTAGACTGTCAGATAATTTGCTGCTATCTCCAAGGTAACGTTTGAAACAGCCCAACACCTGCAATTCCAATTTTATTTCAAAAGGTAAAATTGCGGGAAAATACTTAATGGTTCCCACCATTACTTCAGCTGAGAACAAAGACAATACAGATAAGAGTTTACCAGAATAACACTCCCTTGTACTTTTGCCAATTTGCTGCTTAAAATACTTAATAATGTGACATGTTTTTACATTACATAAAGAGTATATATCTATATGAATACATACAGGCAAAAATAAAACTCAGTTTTCACAATATCTAATGACAGTTATTCCAAGTCTGACTGAGGCAGTGAAATGCAATCTCTAGTGCAGAGTTAAAGTTCCAGACACTAAGGAAAATCTTAATAGAATTCACTCAAAGTACGCTATGAAATCACCAACCTCTAAACAACATTTCCTCCACAAGAAAGAAAATCTTCATGCCTCTAGCTGGGAATTTTACCGTCTGTTTCTCTGCATCGTTCAATGTGTTTACTTATTTATTAAGTTAGAGGGGGTGGGGGTGCCTGAGGCTTTCTCAGACTACAGGAGGTAGACTCTTCCTCCTGCTGGATGACATGGCCAGGCCAGAATCGAAATGCATGCAAACATGTGCAGAAGCCTATCCTGAGGCAAGTATTTGTGAACAAAGCACGTTTGGTTGTTAGTAAATGGATGATCTAATAAAGAGACGAGGGATTGGATTACATATATTACCTCTTTTTTTTCTGTGTATGTGTTTCTCCTAAACGCGTGCAAAAAGCACAACTGTTCCTTGGATGTTCTTAAATAAGTATGGTTGAGATTCAAACGTGTACTCCTTTAACATGTATTGATTCAGCACCATCAGTTTAGCACCTGATGAGAATTGAAAGCAGAAAACAGGAATTTGTCTAAGATTTTTTTTTTTTTCTCAAGGATTCAGGTTCTATGAGAAAAAGGAATTAGGGGAAGGAAAAAGAGTGATAAATATACTAACATTTTTGACAGCTGTATACATTTCCCTGGGCGGGGGTCTTTCTGCATGGAGTTTGCATGTTCTCCCTGTGCATGCATGGGTTCTCTCCAGTGACTCCAGCTTCCTCCCACAGTCCAAAAACATGACCGTTAGGTTAACTGGCATCTCTAAATTGTCCTTAGGTCTGTGTATGTGCGTGAGATTGGTTGTATGTCTTTTTGCATCTCTGTGATGTCCTGTGAAAGACGGAGGACCTGTCCAGGTTGCACCCCGCCAACCTAAGGAAGTAAGCAGGAGACTATGGATGGATGGATGGATGGATGGATGGATGGATGGATGGATGGATGGATGGATGGATGGATGGATGGATGGATGGATGGATGGACTTGCTCTAGAAGTGTTTGATATATTTGCAAAAAAGAATACAGTGATTTTGTTTATGCATGTTCTAAATATGTAATAATTTCACCATGTTTTTTTCTCACCCCCCAAATCACAAGTCCACCCCCAGAGGGAAGTGCTGGCCCAGTGGTTAGGGCATTGCACTTTGAATCCAGAGGTTCCGATTTCGAGCCCCACTCCCACAGAGTCTGGGTCCCTGAATCTGATGCTTAACCCCATACTGCTCCCCGGGTGCCGCACAATGGCAGCCTACTGCTTACCAAAGATATGTGTTAAATGCAGAGTTCATTTTGTTGCTCTGTACTTGTGAGAGTGTAATGAAAATAAATAAAAAGCTGGAGCTGGAAAAAAATACAACTAAATATGAAATTTTAAAGCTTTTATATACCATTGAGATATTACCATTGAGGTTAAGCTGCTGATATTCACAGAAAGTCCAGCCTTGATGAAAGGCTGGACTTCACAAAAGGCATCCTCTGAATAAATTTAAC